CAACACCAGCTCGCCAAGTAAGCCTTGAGCCTGAGTGCTATTTCCCTGAGCTGTAGACCTTGACCCTGCATGCTACAGGCCCAAACACACTCGCTCTGCCCTCGTATCATGACTGCTGCTGTGGAGGCCTGGGCAGATAAGACATGATGAATGCAGATTGTTTGCAGTGTGACAGACTCATTCGTTTACAGTGGGATGGTGCCTTCAGGAGGGGCAAAGCTGCCCAACCCTTAGTCTGAGAGGGACTGGAAGAGAAAGGGGAAGAAAAAGAAAGGGAAGAAAGTGTGGACAGAGTGCCGATGAAACGGAGAGGAGATGAGAAACGGAGTTAAAGACAAGCGTGTGGAAATAATGTTCACACTCGAGGATGCAGTGTCACAGGAGAGAAAAATGATGAAGAGTCCGTTTACCCCTTTAGGCAGGAATGAGAGGAGCGAGAACGGACAAAAAAGAAAAACCAACAACACCGTAAGCAAAGAACAAAGAAGAGATAGAGACAGAAAGATGCATCCAGCACATTCCCGTGTAACTAATCTAGCAGCTTTTATCGGTGGGCTGTGAGATTTATGCTTCTCCCTGACACACAGACAAAGCCCCGTCTGATACTCTCCATGGCAACTGCATGTGGTGACTAATTTTAGGGTTGTGGTTTGGATAACACTTCAGTTATTAAATACCCGTCCGACAGCTTCCGTGCTGTGCCTTTCCTGAACAGGAAAGAGGTTGTTTGACATACTGTGACATAATTCTTTCACCACGAGCGCATCATTTGTTCTGGGATTTTTTTATGTAAATGCATTAGACAACAACAACAACAACAAACCTGGACAAATCAAAATTCCTTATATCTTTCATATGGAAGATGTTGTGTAATGGGAAAGATGAAAGCCCATGCATCTCTTTTCCTTAGGTCTGTGGAGCTGTTCTAAAGGGGGGACTTTTTTTCATAATTCACAGCTATCTTTGGTAGAGATGGCACGATACCACTTTTTTATGTCCGATACCGATATCATAAATTTGGATATCTGCCGATACCGATATGAATCCGATATAATGTTTTTTAATCAACAAAACTGTTTTTTAAAATATCTTGCTGCATTTTGCAAGTCTGCAAGTTCATACTCAAGTTTAAAACAACAACTACACTAAAGCTATTCTGTTATACCTGTATACAAAAAAAATATTTCATAGTTCAGCAATACTGATCAATCTAATAAACTTAAACCTACACCATCCTCACTATTCTGGTATTTTAAAGAGTACTTAGCGTAAATATTAAGCAACCTAACTAATAGGGTTCCAACTCCCAGCAACAACAAAAATAAATAAATAAAAAATAGGGAACCACCCCTCACGCTCCACCTCATGATGCTTAATCGACGTAATCAACCTTAATTTGATGAAGTGTGAAAAAAATGCACAGAAATCAATTATTTTTCAAGAAATATTAAATAGATTCAACATCTTTCTTCAACAAAATTGCAGACTGCACAGATGGTACCTTCCCAAAGTAAAAAGTACTATAGCTTACTAGGGTATATATATTAGACTTAATAGTCACTATATACAGTAATGGACTTCTATTCATTTTACATCAAATTAAAACTTTGGGTGTCAGATAATTATTTATTCAAAGCTAGACATTTTAAATGAGAATAAGAAAGAAAAGTATGTCTTTGTGCCCCCTTTTCCCTGTTAATGCCCTATCGGCCCCCCTGGCTAAACTTTGCTAGATCCGCCCCTGCACAGTTACCAGCGTCAGCTACGTAGAAAAAGATCCTCGAGTAGAAAGTAATATTAAATACATTCTAACAACAGCTGATCAAGCTTAAACGTGCTGCTGTTGTTCAGCCACTGGTTTCCTCTTTCTGGTGCAAAGTGGGCCAAAAGCAAAACAGAGACACGGACTCGTGACAGAAAAGCCGATCAGCTGATCGTTAAGCAGTTTCATGATTGAAGTAGCAGCCGGAGAGCGAGAGGCAGTCGCTTGTTAAGATTAACGCAGGAATGCTTTACAAACATTCAGAGATGGACTTACACACTTGCTTTACTTCTCTCGGGATAACTTTGTCGGAGATGAAATGCCGGGTTGCTAGCGAAGCTCCACATGCTATCCAGACCACCGACAGGTGCCACAGCCGCTCTATCGCGTGACCACACTGCTCCGACGTGCTAACGTTCTGAGGTGAGTTACGGCGTGTTGCAAGTTTTGTGAGGTGCTTTCGTGATATTTAATGGATCGGATTACATTTTTTATTTTTCTCCGATATCCGATCCAGTAATTTAGGTCAGTATCGGACCGATACCGATACGTAATATCGGATCGGTCCATCTCTAATCTTTGGTCATGTATGCAGTATGGGCAGGTAGCTAATCTCAACCAACCTACCAACCACAAAGTAGAAAGACTGCAGTAGCAGCTTACTTGTGAATATAGAACTTGCTGGCTAAAAGCAAGCCACAGACCAAAACAGAGCTAAAAGTAACACTAAAAGTAGTACTTTAAACCTTGATTCTTGGTCCAGTTCCCTCGATTGCAAACAAAAGTCAGATTGTAGTATAAGTCAGATTGGAGCCCTATAAACATTCTTGATGAGTTTGAATCAGCTTGATTTTTATTAGTATAAGATGCACATGAGTGTGAGTCATTCATTTTTTAAATCATGGCCTCAGTTACATTAAAATGAAGGATTAATGAGTTTTCACCAGGCTTCAGGCTCACGTTGTGATTTACAAATCACTATCCTTTAAGTATTTAGTGTCCTAAGTTTCACCAACAACTCCACCCTGTGCCATTCATGTCTGCCCTTCAGTAAATATTGATTGACTTGTTTCAAACAATGTTTGAATACTGTTGGAGAGTCTGTACTATAATTTCTATATATATGATGCCGTGTGCACATTTAAACATCCAGAAGGCCCCAAAGTTTTTAACAATGACAGTTACTGATGATTTTGCAGACTTAATGGGGGGATGGATGGATTGATGGATGATTTTCTTTCTATACATCTATATATAAGAACTAAACAAAAATATTAATCAAAGTAAATCACAGTACTGTTGTGGTACTCACTCAAAAAAAATGAAACGTTGACTTTAATTAAAATTATTTTGTCAACAGGTTCCACGAAATTGAATTATGTTAGTTTAAAGCAAAAATCTTTAGTTCATCTAATTTAAAAAAACTACTTAAGATTAACAAGACATATTTAAGACTAACTAAATCAAGTTATGTTGTATGAACATAGATGATATATTTTCAGGTTAGATAGTTTAGATTAGTTACTTCAACACATTTCTTATTTGTGGCAGTAAAATGTTAAATTTAAGTTAGATTAATTCAAATATTATATTTTCAGCCACCTTGTGCTTTATTAATTAGTTTTACATAAATCTATTTTGTCAACAGGTTCCACACAAATGAATTAAGTACATCCAACTTATTTTTTAAAATTTATTTTATTGCCAACACATTCAGTGAGCATTTGTGTAAACCCAGTCCAAAATAAAACACAACAGCTCATTAGGGTTAGTAATTAACAGTATGTAGACAGATGCAACATCAAGACTTTAAATTAAATGTCTGTATCTACCAGAAATAGAAGAAGAAAAAAAAAACGCATTGAAGATCACATAACACATTGATAAGATGACACTTGAGTTATGCACATGTGATGCTAGTAAGGTCTGTGAGTGTTTTTTTTCCTTTTAGTGTCTAAAATGGATAGCAAAGTTGCTATTTGCAATGATTGCTTAGGGTCAGTCCAGTAACACAATGCCAATGAAGTGCTTTCTGTTGGGTCTAAACTCAGACCCCGCTGTATCTAAGACTTATTCCCATGAAAGAAAAGCAAGGCAACAACGTTCGATTTCTTGCGCAAGGGAGGCCTCTCGTCTGTGACCAGCACGTTGAAATGACCACACTGGTGGCCTCCTCTCGCCGCCTTTTATTGACAAACTTCAAACAATAGTTTACAAAACACCTCCCCTTGCAACCCCCCTTTGGTTACAAAGACAAGGCACTGTATGTAAATGTATACACTGAGTGTGTGTGTGTGTGTGTTTGAGAATGTGTGTGTGTGTGTGAGAGTGTGTGTGTGTGTGTGTGTGTGTGTTGGTCAAAGGGTCATAAAACCTAAAAGCAGGAACAACATCCTTGGTCATAAAGAGGGTAGTCTTCCCCCAGCACAGAGTGGCTGGAGAGGTGGTCAGGATCAAAGGAATGGCTTTGATCCTACTGCTTAAACTAAGACTATACAAATTTAAGAAACACAATGGCGACATTCAACAATTAGACTTAACACTTTCCTTTAACAATGCAAAGTGAAGTGTCCACCTCAACAGCCACAATTAAAAAAAAAAAAAAATTATGTAACAACAACAACAACAACAACAACAATAATAAATAGTCCACTGATATTAGCAATCAAAGAAAATTACATCAACATCCCAAATAAAACTTTAACAAAACATGCCAACATTATGGTCTAACAATAAAACAGCTTGTCAGCGTTCAGTTTTTTTGCAACAGCACAGCAGTAACCATTTAACACTCGCCACTGTCAACATTTATTTTACCAGTGTTTGGGCAAAAAACTTCAGATGTAAACATTTTAACATGGAAACAATTGTTCGTCTTTAAAAGTCCACAAAATATACATTCATCCTGCATTCCCAACTTGGATGATCTGATATCCTCGTGTTGGTGTTGTTCCCAGACCATCATGAAAATGTTGTTCCAGGTTCAACATTGCAAGTGACCAATCACATTGTTGTGACGTTATTCTATTCCAAGCCATTCGTGCATTTATGAAATTCCAATGTTGCAAGGACAATATCAATTCTGCTTACTGTTTATTAAAGGGTTAGGGTTAGGGTCAGTTGATCGGCGGACAGAGGCGGTTTCACGCAGCTTTAGTACAGTTTTTTGTTTTACGCCGGTTTTTCCCGAAGTCGCAAAAGTATGACGTCACAACATTCTGATTGGTCACTTGCAATGTTGATCCTGGAACAACATTTAGTATGATGATCTGGGAACAACACCAACACGAGGATATCAGATCAACCTCCTAACTTACCCTTAATTTTAGTATGTATTGCAATTACCTTTACAATGCACACAATGTAACACAAACTGAATATGAACATATTTCCACCTCATAACAATATGCCTTGAACGCTAATATACACACCACCCTTCAACATTTCTGGTGCAGTATCATCTCTCAATTAAATCCTTTAAATCTCAATACTTTTGATTGTCTCTTAGCTTTCAGTCTTGAGGTTAACTGAGATTCAGTGCATATATCCCACCCATTAAGAGTGCACATGCAGAGGCCAGGTCTTCCAGGTCATGCAGGACACACTAGATGGTTATACCCACATCGGCTGGAGGAGTGCTGGCATCAGCTCTTTCGATGGTAAAGATAGCAAGGGTAATTTGTTCCAGCTCCCTCTGAACAGCTGTAGCTTAGACACAAAAACATAGAAAAATGGCATCCAGTTTTAAAAAAAAGAAAGAAAAAGGGCCAAAGCTACCCTTTAATGACGTAAACACAATATTAGGAACATGCACCCCAGTGCGCCACTATTTCAGACTACAGATTCAACGATAAATATAAATAGTTTGGGTATACAAGAAGATTTCCCAAAACATTTAAACAGGTTCCATGCAAATTACAACAACAACAACATTACAACATGCAACAACATTAGTTATTCAAAATTTGGTTTAATACAGATAAAAAACTAAACTAAAATTACCAACCAATTATTCTTTGAAGAGGATGCTTGGGTCTTCATTCAGGTAAAAAGGTAGTGCCCTGAGGACACACTCCCTCCCCTTTTCAATGGTTTCCTTCTGTAGAGAGTGGCAGAGATACAGGAAGAGAAAACAGAAATACTTTAGGATGACAGAAACTCACATTATACGCAAAATGAATGACATAGCCACTGCACAGATAGGCATGTACACAAGACCAACTAATCATCACATGGACATGAATAGTTAACCTGTTGGGCAGGGTTTCCACCACATTATATATGTCCATAATGGAGGTAAAGACAAACTAATACATCATCTTTTTTGCATTCAAAACATAACATAAAAACATTCACTTCTGGTTTAACCTAAATCAAGGGATCAGATTTTACATATGTTTAGGTAATTTAAATTTTCCAACGTTTTGAGTACCAAACTTTGTCTTGCTTAATATAAATGTAAGTGCACTGTGCAGCTACCATACACTAGCTGTTTAAATTTGAAAATGATCTTATTAGCCATAATATTTTGCTACCAACAGAATAACGCACCTGTGTGGCTGGGGCCAAAGTTTGTCTAATTTTCTTCCCTGCAACGCCTCCTTTTTTCTTGAAGACTTTTATGAGCTGGTCAGTGTATTGGTCAAGTTGTGTAAAAAGCCTTGGAACATGTGCAGCAGTAGTAATCCTCACATATTCTGCTTCCACCTGAAAATATGTCAACAAACACAACATACTGTACTGTAAATATACATACTATATGTACACATATACAAACTAAAACTAATGTAGAAAGACCTCATTAAAGCTATAATTTTAACACAAACATTTACACAAAATGCTAATGGAGCCATTACAGCTTTTATTGTTATTTATCAAGTTCCAAAAAATATTGATCACAGCTGATCTGAAAAGAATTTCATGCCTCAGGCCCTTGAACTGCAACCTTTACCATGGTTCAGATGTGGAGACGAAATAACAGGGGCATGGGATGGGTCACAAAAGAAACCTTAACTTATAAAACAGTTTTGTTTTTAAAAGTTCACATACCACATACAAGCTCAGCAGTACCACATACACCACATCAGTATAGGAGGGAGCAGGTAAAGGCAGGATCTGAGATTTATAAAGTAAAACAAGAAATTCATTACCTTGACTTTTTGGATTTTAAATGTCACTTTATGCTATCCTTGCTATCCTATTCGATATTTCCGACTCTCGGATTACAGAAAAGGAATCCCAAGAAAGCAAATGGAAAAATAACCCCTTGAAAGAATAACCCCATGAACCCCTGTAGCTAATCCCTTAATAAAACAAAAAACAATAAAAATGTTTCTTACACAGTCCACAAAATAAGCATGTCCAGGACCCAGTAAAACTAATGTAAAACAAGCACACGCAAACGCAAAATATAACCATGCTGGACATATAGATACTACACAACATAGTCAAAGAAAAAAGTGGTCTTACCTCTCAAAGAAACAGCAGCTTGGCGCCAAAACAGCCTTTTTCAGTTAAATTTGAAGTCTTGCGCATGAGCAGGCACAAGCCGTGAAACCTTCTTGTTCTGCGCGGTTTCATTACAACTGTTTTTGCATTACTGCCACCTTGTGGATATACAAGGTATATCGATCCTCATTGACTTAACTTAAATGTTATGCGATCAAGTAACACATTAGTATTATGTACGTTGAATAATAGACACAATTACGTAGACTTGATTACAAAAACATATGTTAACTTAACAAAAACATATATTTTAAGTAAAATGAAAATAAATAATTAATATACACTGAACAATCCACCTCATTCATTTTTTTGAGTGCTGAAAGGATTCAATGAATTGGAATAATCCTTATTGTAGGATCACGAATGCGTCCACAATTTTATTACTTCTATTTTCTTTAAAGACAATAATACAAGGATCAAGTGTAGCACAAAATATACACTTAAATGAGGAAGTATTCCTTTACATTGTATCCTAATCAGTCAATTAAAGTTTAAACAGTCTTTTTAACACGCAAGGTGGTACTCCTGGGTGTGTCCAACAGATTGGCAGGTGACAGGATATGATGTATGCTGATGTAGTGAAGTTGGAAAGGGTTTAAAAGTTGTGATTGTACTGTTAGCCCTTCCTCAGTTAGCAAAACAAAACAAATGGAACTGTGCCGTCCTACTTCTGTGTGTGTCATCATTGCACTTTATAACTCACTTGTATGCTTGTACTGTGTAATGGGACAATTAAGTTAAGCACATTCAAAGTCCTCATAGTCCTTATGAGGCCCTTGCAAACAATCTCAGCATGCAAAACACAATGTGGTAGAAATACAGTGTAAATGCAGATATACAAAAATGGTATAAATATGTTTTAAATTTAAAAACGGGATGCCTAATAACATTATACACAAGGACCATCTAAATAAACAGCCAATCAGCTGTTATACTTAAATGTAAAGAAATATGCATTTGCTTTTTTTATTATGAGGATCATTATGGAAACTGGACTACTGTTGAATGTGGAAAAGGCATCACCTCTGGGCATTTACCTCATAGCCATGATGAAGTTTTGTGGCTATTTTTAGCAATGTCTCTGTCACAAGAAAATATGGGGACTTCTTTTAGTTTTGCGAGATATATTTGGTGTATTATCTAAGGCCTGTTTGTCATGATCTGAATAACACTCACAGCTCTATTCACCCTATAAGAAGCTATCTATCTGATGGCTGCTCATTTTGATGAGAGTATTTATGTCTGTGCTTGGGTAAATGCACAGCAGCCCACTGGTCCACTCAGACATCGTTGACTGCATAGTTGATGTGTGAGGCTTGTGCTTGTGTGCAGTTTCCGGTAGTGGACATCCAATTGCTTTGCATCCAGTGGGAAAAAAAGCAACAACACAACAAACCCAGCTGTCACACAGATCCTATAATACATGTTGCTGCTCTACTGGTTTTGAGACTTGAGCGAAAACATGACCAATCTCCAAACAAACTGGTGAACCACACACACACATGCGCATACATCTATGTGACCGTCCTTACGCACATCCAAATCTGAGTGGGTAGAAACTGCTGCTCAGAGTTGTTTGAGTTTGCCAAGTGACTCTAGAGATACAAATTCCTTCCCAACAGCAAAGTAATTGTGCATATCAGACAATCCGGTATGAAAGAGTAAACATAAATTGTACATTTTGTCTCTATTGTTTCAAAGAAATTAAAGTGATTCCTCACAGTCTGGGAGACTTTTTGCATTAGCTTTAAGAGAAATGCTCAGCAAACAGCTGTTGGATGAGTTTTGTTAGCTCACACTGCTCCATTTTTATTTTTCTGCAATATTTCTGTCTTGAATATGGTCATTTAACATATAAAGGCGACTCCCACTGCCATCCAGTTGTAATTTACATCTTAAATCCCCAACTTTTCTTGGAGGTTTCTGTGCCGCGAGGCTGCTGTCTGGCTGCTAGCCGCATAATTAGTTTAAGAAATCTTGTCATTTGCTTCTACCTTTAAATTATTTTTCCTCCCCTTGAGTTTCTTCAAGGCCTTATGAATAATGAGATAAATCTCAGTTCAGTGGAGATTGGACATTTTTCCATATAGCACTTTGTTCAAAGCCCAACTTAAGGCAAAACCCCCTTTGACAAATGTAGAATCATTGCACAGCCTAAGTGAGAAATGATTGACTGCTTAATTGATACTCCCCTTTGCCTATATGTGGTCTGTTATCCCAGCAACCCACAATTATTGATGAATTACCATATCATCTATATTTAAGTAACCTCATGCTGGGTAACCAAAAAAAGGAAGAATATAATGGGCTGTAATTGGTAAAATATTCACAGACGGGATCTCTTGGACCAGCTCCATCTATGATGAGGGCGTGATCGTTCCTTAGCAGTGGGGTCTTTTTCTCCCATTACCAGGAGGGTAGCCATCCCTGCTGGCTCAGGATCAACAGGGGAGTCAGACGTTGTGAAGGACAATTGGCAACTTGTGAAACTTTAATCAGGGCCATGAATTAATCAATAAAAGGAGGAGGATAAATGAAGCAACCGTTTGCACCTAAATGATGGCGAGGGGAGGCCCCCGATGGCCTGCTGCTATACACTTACTTCCTGAATAAATCATTTTCTGTGAAGGGCTGGAGTGTCCTGCAGAGGAACCACTCCCAATCTTTTCCCTCCTGAATCTTTCCATCTCAAGGCCATGACAGAGGAGCAGGGACACCTCGCCAAAAGATTCACTCGAATATTTATCACACATAGCTCAAGTTATTTTCTGCTGGGAGCCAATTTGAAGGAAGCGTTGCATGTCAATGTCGTGCAATTAAGCCTTGTAGTGTATCTGATTGCTATGTACTGTAGCGTGTTGGGATTTAATTGTTAAGGCCTAAGCACACAAGGGAAGTGTTTTTATATTTTCCTCTGTCCATAGGCACCTCTTTTTTTAGTCTATGTGCCTTCACTATAATTATACCTCTATTTAATACATTGGCATGGATCCACAGGAGGCTGATGGGTTTTAACAGTCGGCTGTTGGTGTAATTATGCAGTTTGAGGGACTTGATTACTACCTTGCACCACGGAGACTGTTACAGTTTTGAGCACTGCTAGTAAAAGCAAATATCATTTCACACCCTGTCACGAATGTTGATGGCAAAACCTTGTGTAATACAAACAAGCTGCACATCTGGCCATTCAAAAACCATGTCAGCTTTGCCAAGTGGACCTGTGAACTTTGTTCCTGTGTTTTGAGGTCACGCTGCTCCCCGATGGCCGCACAAAGGCTCTACATGGCGGCACGTGGTAGACGCATCATCCCGCCATTAGTTTGCAGGGTGTATTCGCACATATTTGGGGTCAATTGTCTTTCTAAGTGATTGTAAAACCGAAAACATGAAAGCAGCTGGCGCAGTAATCAGTAACTCGAAACGTGTAAGAACAAAAACAGTGAGAATGGTGTATTTGTATATTATATAGGCATATGCAAACAGATTTAGCCATTTGGTTAGTCAGTAGTCAAATAGAAAGCAAGAGACAATGAGAGAGATGTGACAAGAGATAAGAAAAAGAAGCTACCGTGGGGTGAAAATCAAGTGTGGAAGAGACGGAGCAAGAGAGAGAAGCAAAGACGGAGACAGTTAAACTGCTAACGCCAACCTCAGCTTCCCGTTGGCACCGTTGTGCACTTGGAGCTAGGTACGACTCTAGGTAACCATCTATAACAGTATGGTGTCTCTTGGGCACTGTTCTCTTCTATCTCATCCTCAGTACTCAGTGGAGCGCGGCAATCGCTCCTCTCCACACCCTTCCACAGATCTGCACCCGTGATTACACCCCAAATCAAATGAGTCTGGGACTGAGAGATCGGGTGGGGGCGAGCTGGGTTAGAACGGGGATGGGGAGAGAGGTGGAGGGGAGACACTGATGGTTTGGCAAATGTGCATACAGATTTATCATGCCAGAGAGAAAGTGAAAAATAGAGCACATACAGTGATTTAGAATTCATATAAAGCCTGTTGGTTTAGAAAGGGCAGTCATGCAGAGAAATGGCTCGAGCGTTTTTTTATCGCAGAGATTCGAAATGAACAATAGCGCATGTATGACAGATGTGTCCTTTGAAGCTGAAGCAACAATTTTTGTGCTGTTTTTTTTATGCAAATGCCATGCTGAGCTCCACATTTCAACTGTTTTATGATGGCACACCAGTCTGGCAGTGAAAATGGTGACCGCAACAGCAGAACAGACGGAGTTGGAGGGAAAAGAGTTTAGCCATTTACTACCACCTCCACTGCAGATTTCCAAACTGCATTGCTAATTTAGAACTGAACTCCAATAATACTGCTGAACTCATGACTGACTAAAGCTGCTAGCCTCACACAGAGCTAAGAAGAAAGATATAGAATTCTAGTAATCTCAGTTATTTCTACACTCTGCAGATCCTTTTTTCATTTTCATTGTCAGACCCTCAGTCTCAGCTAGAACTGACCCGAGTGCCCTCACATGAAGCAGCTTCACACAGATGATTCTGGAGCCAAAAAAGGCTGTTAAATAGACTGTGGTGTGTAAAATCTGTGCAATCCCCCTTTAAATTGATTGTCCTTCTCCCACCCTTCTCTACTCTGTAAAGCTGCACTGATTTATTTTTATAATGATATTAGATCAAATGACTTTGTGTAATGTGAAGGGGTCATTCTTAGTGACAAACCAGCTGAGAGCTATCACCAGCTCTGCAGTTCCCTTCAGGCTGACAAAGTGTCTTAACGTCGCTTAGCTTACATTGAGAAAAGACAGCTGTTCTCATTGTAAAAGTTCTGATAATCCTGCTTATATGCTGCTGAACATGGATTAGCTTTTAGTTGCTAAAGAGAAATGTTTACTTTAGGATTTACTGAATATGGAACTTCATTGTGCTTCTCAGTATCTGCAAAATGAGTATGTAGGAAACTTTGAAGCAGGTTCAGTACAGCATTACTTTGCCTGAGTGACTAAAGTAACATGCTTCATCTAAGATATCAACTGCTAGCTGGACAGATAGATGATATAAGAAGTTAAATGTCTTGAATGTCAGTTAATGCACCATTAATCAGTGTTTCTATTCTCAAAATGTCAGTTATTGCTGATTTTGGT